AGATTAATGATTAACACATTGATTAGGTTAAGACTCTCATAACCCAATCATTTCACCTCTAAGCTTTCTTGTACTATCTCATACATAAATTTTCGGTGGACACTCAATATCTAAACCACAGCATCATCAAATATTTTTAAAAAGAAGAAATCACCATGAACACACCAATCAAAGAAACTACTGACATTTTAGTGTATTTCATTCATTTTCCTTTTCTATACAAGGTATTTTGCATAGTTATAAGTATGCGGTATATACAATTCTGTGTTCCAATTTGTTCCCATTACATTATAATTTTTTTTCTATTACAAAAATTCCTAAATATTGTTCAGTAGCTGTGCTAAATCTATCATGTGGCTTATCCATTATTTACTGACTCAAACCTCAATATTTGGTCAAAATGACAGCTGATGGTTTGCTCTGAGATATGTTAGATACCTGTTTGCTGTTAAGATATACCTGTAGGACAACCTGTGATTTTTATTCAAGCTGCTAATAAGCAATAATAGCTGTGCCAGGCTCACCTAGGAGTTCCCATGACAAGTGTTAACAAATAATTTGCCTCTCCAGTGAGGCCTCCTGGGACCACATTAATGATTGAAGAGAAAGGTGTCCTCATCTTTATTCTGAAATCTTCAACTAATGGAGAAAGCTTTTCAATAATTCTCTTTTTCGGGTGTTCATAGTGTTTACTCTGTATGGGGAGACATATGCTTACAATTTATATGTACTTATAATCATCTGTTATTTTCAGTTAAGATGTTTCTTTTGGTCACCAGAAAAAAATCAGTAGTACATATGAAACTAAATCCATGAGGATGTGTAAGGTTTGAATTACACCTACCATATTTCGCACCAAAAAGATTCCTAAGAGATAGGAAAATGGAATCCTAATAGATTTCTTATCCTCCCTTTCTTCAGAGATCAATCAAATTCCGTATTTCCTACTTCTTTAATATTATTGGTAATTCCCTCAGACACCATACYCATTCATTGCCACTCCTTTACTTTGGCTTTCTTCATATTTCATGTGGGTTTGGGCCATAATATCCTAATCAATCTTCTCTTCTTTAGATCTGTCCTATATAGTAGTTACTCCTACTCCTCCCAACAAGAGAAACATCTACAAATGTTTGCACAAGTAGACTTTTAAAGTATAAGTCATCTTGAAAGTGGTCAGTAGTCCTCCAATGTCCACAGGGAAAAAAATATCAATTTCTTTCCTTATTCACTAAGCCTCTTCTTTATTTCCTTATAATACTGGAAAMAGAGATAGATGCCTTTAGGGGATTTTTAGAAAACTCTTTTCACTCCTTTCTGTGAGATGCCCTACCTGTCAATTTAAGTTTCATTCTCTGTGTTGTCCTCCATGGTTCTGAAATAATGCAAGCCCCAATCGATTGGATCAGAGGTCCACATTTACCATGCTGAGTTAACAACAGCCTTTCTTTTGGAGGGGTTGGAAGCCCATTCTAGATCTCTTGCTTGAACTAAGGGAATATTGGCTCATGAGTTGAGAATGCTTTTGTAGGATGTCTGTGAGTATAGAAAAACAGACACAAACGAGTTTGCAAAGGGGAATAACTAAAGCTGATGTTGGCTGAGTAGCAAGATGAAAGAATCTATCTGTTACCAGATAAAGAGTTGTTCTTTTGGCTCCAGATGTTATGAAGAGCCTGGTTCTAGTCACAAATGAACTCAAGTGTCTGGGTCTTGAGTTTTGCAAGACATCTATTTAGTTTTAAAACGATATGCCATCTTTTTTATTATTTTTAAACTAAGTCAAGAGGGTTCCTATTTCTTACAATCAAAAGAGTTTTAATTAAGACACCGTTCATATTCCAAGACTCAACCAAGAGATATTCTTTTCTAAAGATTTTACAAACCCCAATACAACCCTCTCCCTGCCCTGTGTTGGCACATCCCTCCACCAGCAACACTTCATTACTTTTACATGCCTGTCATCCCAAACTAATCTGTAARAAACTGAAGAATGAAGGAAATGTCTTACATATGTTTTATTTTAAATCTCTCTAATGTCCATTACAGTGCAAGGTACATATATGTTTAATACATTTCCTTCATCAGAGACTGTAACTTACAGACTGAATTTAACATGCATAAATATTATGTTTGGTCCATATAAAGAACTTTTTAGTGTGTGTGTGTCTGTAAAATCTAGTATTTTTACTTACTTTTCTAAGATAAAGATCTTAAGAACATTCCTTAGTATTATCTGATATATGGATTTCCTCTCTACTYGATAGAAACATCAGAGTTGGGTCATGTATTAGGTTGATGTTTCCATTTTTGTGGAGGAGTCAAGTTCAACATTGACCAAAGCACTCTGGTAGGCAAAAAGAGAGAAATATGAAGTAATGCCCGTATCCACAGCTCCACCAATAATACACTTTCCAAAGTTATTGATGATCTTCTTATTAAATCCWGTGTACATTTGACCCTTCTCTACAATTTCATACGGTTTGCAATTCCTTGAATTTGCTTTCTGCTTGTTGAGATTTTACTCCTATTTTTCCCTCTTTCCTTTTGACTAGCTTTCATCTCTTGTTTATGCTTATCTTGTTCTGCATTGCTCAATTGTTGTCTTTGATATCTTTTCCTTCATTTTTCTATCTCCCAAGCTGTGCTTCTTTCTTTCCATGCTTTTAATTATTTATCTATGTAGGATGTTGACGCTGAAATCATCATTCCAGTCCATATTTTATCTCTTAGGTTTATATTTGGTTACTTGATTTTAATATCCCAATTTCCAAATCATACTCTTTTCTCTTAACACCCTTTGCCTTACACACACACACACACACACACACACACACACACACACACACAAAGTCCTTTCCTTCATCTTACAGTTTCTCTTTTCTTGAGCTATCCACAAAGGTGATTGTGCTAAAACCATTTGCACTTTTTTTATTCATTCATCTGTCATCAACTACATCCAGTCATCATACTGAGCCTGTTCTAACTCCTTAATATCTCTACAGCCTAACACTTGAATAACTGAATTAGGACTTGTAATCTAATTTTCCTAGTCAACACTTACCTACATTAATTTTGTTTCTTGTAAGTAATTTACAAATAATATGTGAATATTTTCCTATAATTGGCAGATTAGTAATTTCAGATAGAAATCACTAAATTCCAGCATCTACCTTGGCCAATGCTACCCACACAACTGACACTGGGAGGGCTGGGAAGGAAGAAAGGATGAGAGCCAGAATATGATGGTTAAAAATGTTTCAAGACTGGGGTTGTAGCTSAGTGGTAGAGCACTTGCCTAGAATGTACAAGGCACTGAGTTTGATTCTCARCACCATATATAAAAAATAAAGTATCTAAAATAAAGCTCCATAAACAAGTAAAAATAAATAAATAAAATGTTTCTAGGTCATTTTCTTAGTGTCATCTGTTCTACTCCACCAAATGACACAAAATTTATGTTACAGTGTTTATTTGATATCTTATTTAAACTGCTTTCCTGGATGTTTTCTGTTAAGCTCTTTGAAAGAGAAGAAATTGCRTTGTCATAGCTAGACCTCATATTTATAAGAGCTAGGCACAACATGCAAGGGTTCAAACTTATCAGGATGGTTTGGGAAAGAAGAATATTTTACTTCAACTGAGTGAAAAGGAAAAAAAAATCACTATTCTATTTTTAGTAGTTAATAGGATATGAAAAACATGCATATCATAAATCAATGCTTTGTCAAAAAAGTTAACAAATAACCTAATAAAACAAAGGGTTGAAAGTTTGGCTAGATGAATTTTGATTTTTTTTTTTTAACTACCAAATTTCAAGAGGCAAAGTGGAGAGACATCTGGCCTTGTATCTGCATTGTGTTGGGTATTTGTTTTGGGGGGAATTTGGTTTTTATTTTGTTTGGTTTTTGCTTTTGGAAGGTGGATGTCAGATTAGAAGGCTACTTGCTATCTGGCCATTGTCGTTTTCTGTCATTATCACAGACTGAAGAAAATTGCTCTTTTTCTGTAGTCAAAATGCCKTTTCCAGTCCAAAACATCCTGGAGAAGTTGTTTAAACTATTAGCTCTGTCCCCTAAGATACTAGGAAGGCCCCTACATTTGTGGTGGTGGTGGTAGGGTCTTCATTTCTCTATAAAATGAAGGAATTGAACAAAACAATGTCTGGATTTCATTCCAAACTCACCAATCTGATATTTATTGCATTTATACTCCTGAATGAAGGTATGAAATGGGCCCAGCTCTGGGGCTCCAATGTTGCTGTGATACCTCTGAAACTCTGCTTCATAGAAGGGTGGGAATAAGAGCCCCTTTGCAGTATTTCACATAGCAGGACAAAGGGCAAGCCTCTATATTCAAAGGAATGACATAACCTGTTTCTGAAGTGAAMAGATGCTCATCATCACATCATCCTCACTTTCGGATAATCAGATGCTCAGAAAACAATATTAACAATTTTCATTGACATGAAAAATGCAAGATAAGGTCCCTTGCTAGAGTTTGGGACTTTGGAGAAAAGCATTCGTGAAAAGGGCATTTCCACAACTCAATAGTGAAATCAGAGCCTAAATCCCATCACTGGAATCTCTAACAATCTCCAAAATCTCTTGAATTATTCTCCCTGAAAATAAACCAAGTTAGTGTAGGGATAACTACTCCTTTTGACCTGAGTCAAGGGTCCCCTACAAACAGGTACAAACTGCCAGAATGGTAAGAGCTCTTCTTCAGCCACAGGRAGGCGGGATTAAGGTCTCCACCCGTGCGTGGCGCGTAAGCCAAGGCCTGGTGCGGGTTACTGAGCTCCCCCGCAGGGCGCCGCCCCAGACGCGGCCCCGCCCCTCACCTTGCCCGCACTGCGCTCGGGCCGYGAAGGTGCGTGCGGCGCTCGGTGATTGGCGGCGGCCCGGCGCTGCCCCGCTGCCATTGGCTGCCCGCGCCTCTTTGTTCCCGGTCCCCGCCGCAGGACGACTGCAGCGGACTGGGCGGCGGAAGTTCGACGGCGCCGGGTGGGTGGCTGCGGTAGTGGCGCCGTAGTGCCGGCAGATCCCCCCAGGGCCCGCAGTGGAGCGGAGGCCTGCCAAGCCTGGACGTGAGATCCCGGACAGGAGGAAGGAACCCGTCTGACACACCAACATGGACCTGGATACCAAAATGAAGAAGGTAACAGGTCGCCGGCGGCGACAGCGGTCGCCTCACCTGCGCCGCCGGGGCCGCGTCCCGGAACCCCCTGCGGCGCCGCCTCCTGGCCGTCGCCAGCGGTGGGGCGCGCGGGCCGCCTGGCGCGAGCCAGCTCCCTGTCTACGGTGTCCCCAGGACGCCGGGTCCAGGTACGGGGCCCTCTGGGTAGAGGTGCCTGGCAACCTCGCTAACTCCTGAAACCTGGGAGCGACAGTGAGTCCGAGCGCGAGCGCGGGCGGGCGCGGGACCTTGCTCCCCTCCTGTCTCACCACGCCCAACGGTTGGAGGTGTCTGAAACTTTTCCTGAAAATGTTTCAGCTACGCCTGTGCCTCCCCCAAAAGGAAAAGATGAGGTTAGAGCGAGTTCGGKCGAGACCGTGACACTTCTTCTTCCTGTCTCAGGAAATTCAACTTCATCAAGTCTTTGTGGTTTAGGAGTGTTGATGCGACTTTGACAGCCTTGACCCCCTCCCTTTACAACTTGGCTGCCTGAGGTTCCCTAAAGTGAGTGAGTGCTGATTTAATGCACTTCCTTAGCACCCGCCACTGCTGATTATTTTGTAAAGTGATGATTTTTTATTTTTTGCTCTTATCATTCATTACTTGATTGCCAWAGCACATTGCCTCCTTCTTGGCGAAGTTATCTCTCAAAGAAAACTTTTTTTCCCTSTTTGCAGCTAGCCACAAAGAGCGATTGTCACCAGTGCTCAGTTCTGGGGAAGGTTTCTAGCTGGATGGTTCTGGGCTTCAGAATCCTACCTGAGCCACTCCCAGGGTACAGGGARCCCCTGTAGCCTGGGAGAAAGGGTGGGGACCAGACTTTGACTCCAAAAAGAATGCTGATGTCACATTCCAGTGTAACATTCTGTGTGAAAGGTCTGCTTCTAGGGAATTGTTCATATTTACTCTGCAGTAAATTTAAGCTAGCTGTCTCTTATCAAATAGGGAAGGAAGTTGTGCAGAGTGAGAAAGGGAAAAGTAGCAAAAAACTTAATTTTCTTGCTTGTCTTCTAAAAGACAAATTTCTGACCAGAGCATTAAGTATATTTTATGGTAAGAACTTAATTTTTGAAACTATATGCAAATGCAAGATATTAGTTTAGGAAGTTGTTGAACAATAAAAACTTGCAATGAGARAAAAGAGTTTTTTGGTCTCTTGTGACTAAAATCAGCACTCAAAACGGAATCCAAGAATAGGAAACAAATTTTTAAGAATACTGTAGTTGCTTTCTATTCTCTTCCCATTTGATATTTATAAAGTTATTTTAAATAACAGTTTTTTGACTAATCTGCTTTCCACTTGAAAGCATGTGYTTAATGCACCATTAGTTTTTTGTTGATCATTGCACTCATTTTGATTTTGTGTGTGTAAATACTTAATTTAGTTCTTGTCTAAAATTTGGGGGTGCCTTGCCTTGCTTACAAATATTGATTCAAAAACTACTTTGTAAWAGTCAACACCCTGAGGATGAATAGGTGAAGCACAGGATTTTTACAGCAGTGACACTATTTTGTATATTATAATTGTGGATATGTGTCATTTGATGTTTGTCAAAATCCACAAAATGTATAATTTACCAAGAACAAACCCTAATGTAGACTAGATAGTGATGTGTAAGTATGTTTCATTGGTTTTCATAAATATACTACTTTGATGTAAGATATTGATAGTGGGGGAGGCTGTGTTTGTGTGGGAAAGAGGGAATATGGGAATTTTATACTTTCTGCTCAATTTTGATGTGAACCTAAAATAGTATATTTAAAAAAAACACTCAGAAGTGTTTTAAAGACTCTTTGAGACAAAGAATAATTCTTAGTGGAGAGGTTCAGAGTTAAGAATTATATGGGCCTTGGGATGTAAATCAGTGATAAAGTGCTTGCCTAGCATGTTCAAGGCACTGGATTTGATCCCCACAACTGGAAAAAAAAAATTATCTATTATTTCAAAAGAAAAATCCAAATACTATTTATATATTGTTTTATAGTTTCAAAATGTGACTTATAATTATTTAGCATATGATATAATTTTCCTTCTTCATCCCCTGTTTAAATTTAAAGAATATCTTTTTAACCAAGAATCTTAACCTTCTCTGTAATCTTCCTTCTCTCCACCTTGTCCCCAAGAAGGAGAGATTTTACAGATTTAAAGATAGCCTTTAGAGAGAATTCCATGCCATTAACATATCCCTTTCACTACCTTTTCATTGATAGTGATTTTTAGAACAGAGTCCTCAACTAGTAAATTGGAAACAACTGAAAGACCCTGAAGGTATTCAGTTTGACTGCCTTTCTGTGCCTTTAAGAGACTCAATTTTCAGTGGCTTGGACAGAAAGTTTCCCAGTACAAAACAGTTTGGAAATCCCATGAATACATTTCACAGTCTTAACCGTAATCTCAAAAATAAACTTATATTTTTTTAGAAACTGTTTTCTAACATGCCTCAAAAAAGACACATTGTACAATTATCATTGATTTACTAACTTACCCTTTTTTGGGTATCTATTTAGTTTTCAAGGTTCCCTTCCTTTTTGACTTGGATATACAAGAAAAATAATAATTTGAACATACGTTGAAGAAAGGCAGGTTAGAAATAAAGTACAGTCATTTAAATTAAACTAAATTTGACTTATGTTTTAAGATGTATGGCATATTCCTTCTAAAGCCCTTATATTACATTGCTGGTTTCATAAAGAATTTTCCCTAGGCAGATGAAATATTTTATTTTTTTTCTGTAAAAAAGATTAAAGATGGTGTCTTTATCACACAATGACCTAGGTGAATGATTTGTTATAGGATTTTAAGTTTATAAAAAGAGAACTTGTTCACATCATTCTTAACAATTTAGATTAATTACCATTAAACCCCACCTTCAAATGGAATTTTTTGGATTAGAGTTTGCTATATTTTGTTTGAAGTAAGTGAGCTGTTGCTAGGATGTGAGCTAGTTTGGTTTGATACAGAGTTTTTTTTTTTTAGTAATATTTAGAACAGAATTTGACTATAAGTCCATGCCCTGTCTTTTGAGTTACTCATCTTAATCTCTTCCTTCTATCTCTCATCTCTCATCTAATTGACTGTGTAACTAGAGTCTGTCTGCTTGGGAAAAAGAAAAAAAAAAAAACAATGGCTTTTGAAAAGCAGAAACAGTATCTCATTTTGTGGTGAATGGTAAATTATGGCCCACAGCCAGCTGTTTTCCTCTTTCCTTTCTGTGTTACTCTCCCATGAGAATCACTTTTTTTCTTTAAAAACATACCAGAGAGAAAGAGAACTTCAGTAATTTCCCTTATATTGCCTGGAATTGCTACAGGGCTTTAAATTTTACCATACTGCTTTTTTTCCTCTTTTGTAATCTCTTTCATTTAATACTTCGTAGGATCCTGCATACATTTCTTAGGACTCTTTTCTTTGTTTCTTTAATTTTACTTTTAAAAAATGATGCATTTTAAAGATTAAAGGTCAGTAAAAATCCCCACATTCCACATCCAAATATGTTTTAAAAGTTTKGGTCATTAGCCAAAAAAGCATAGTGGATTCAAGTGATTACATTTGGAAAAAGTATTAAACCACAAAGTGTCTTTCTATTAGAAATTAGAATGAGTCTTTYCCATTAGGCAGCCTCTGATTGAAGTGAAAGGCACAAAGGTGATGACCTAGATGCTGAAATCTATAGTGGATTTCTCTGCCTGAAGCTACTTTTGCTGCAAGAGTCATTGTCAAGTCTGGGAACTGAGTGAGAGCCGGGCATACCTAGGGCTTTGTGTTAGATAGAAGTGGGTACTCTGACTCTAAAGTGCAGAAGAAAGTACAATGGTCCTTAGCTGGAGATTTCTCTCTTCTAACCCATGGTGTGATTCATTATATCATTAAATATGAAGTCACTTTCTCTTACCAAGATTAGTTTGAATAAAACTAGGGTTTCTAATGATTTTGTTCCCTTATATGATCCTGTGGAGTAGACATAGAATTTTCTAACTGCACTCGCTATTTACCTGTGTAACATCATGTCACMCTGTGACATTACTTGGCAGTGCCCATACTCCATCTGCAATATGAAATTGTACCCATTCTTCAAGAGTATGCACCTTCCTTTAGGAAATGTTTCTTCATGTTCCACCTAGAGGCAAATCTTTTTCCTTAAATTCCCAAGGCATGTTATCTGCAACTCCTAGGATGCTCATCACTCTCCACCTTTAGGTTTATTTACCTTGGAAATTCACCTTTTATCTGATTGCAAACTTCTCGAGAGATGAATTTATATTTTCTAGTGCTTACATAGTTATTTTGTTGGCTGTTCAAAGCAATCCTATATGAAATAGAGCCTAGGCACTTTTTCAGAATGAAGAAACTGAGGTTTGGTTAGCTTAATTTGAAAGTAGAGAATCTTACTATGAACCRGAAACATGGTTTGGAGAATCCATGTTCCTAGCCTCTGAGTCTTACATATCTGCCATCTTGCTTACTAAATATGTTAAATATAACTATTATTAAAAGAGAAATAAAGTATGGTACATTTCAAATTTTCACTTGTTTAAAGGAATTATATTTGAGGAACTGATTTCTATTCCAGTAAAATTACTCTTCTGTTGGTTTTATATGTTTAGTTATACTTTATCTATGTCATATGTATACCCTTTAGTGTAAGTTGCTATTGACCCTTTATGACAGAGACYAAGTCTAAAAGAGTAAAAGTATTGTGAAAAAGAATTTCTGGGCAATTTTATAGGCAAAGAAACTGTTTAAGCTCCAATAATATTCTAAATTGAATCTTCTAGGATTCTTTCATCTCCCCAATTTATGTTGGGAGCAAGGGTTATGCTATCTTTCAGTTATTTAATATGGTCTTAAGCTGTAGTATTTGTCTGTATTTGACTGTTTTGAGAGGTCAAGCAGTGGCATCTGTAACAGAAGAGGGTACCCCTGGGTGGGTTGTAGAGTCTTTTCTATTTTCTGAAGTCCATGATGATAGAAAGCYTCACAC